GTAAAAATGTTTTTTTTCATACTTTTGGGTGTCTTGCACGGATTAATTTGATTTCCATTATTTCTTATGGGGAAAATTCATTCGCATACCGAACATTTCGCATAACAGCCAGCCCTCTTGCACGGATTAAGGTCGCTATGTGGGGGTCCACTGTATTTTGCTAGAACTCCATTTTTTCTGTCGAATGAGTACAAGAAACCACCCATTTACAGATTTCAACTATGCAACAAAGTGGTCAGAATTTAGCAATTTTGCCAATTTCACACAAATTTCTAAAGATGCCAGTTTCCAGATAGGGTCCAGAATAAATAAGAAAGACATTCCTGGCACTAAAATAACATTTTCTCTGTTCATTAGTCATGTCCCCAGGCCCCTCTTACATTCTTTTGCTTTCCACTTTGAATTTTTATTATCACAAAACACAGAAGATTTACTGTTATGCAGACTAGTGCATTAGTGTAGAAATGGTATAAATAATATCAGCGCACTTGTGAAAGAATATTAGACTCGCCAGTTGACGTGTATTGGACGCGTAGCATGATTTGTTTACTTTGAACTTTGGCAAAAATTGAAGATTTCTGCTACTTTGAGCTCAATTTCAAGGTACTTTTCCTTGTAAAACCAATCAAAATTGTCTCAATTTCTGTAATATATCTTCCATTCTATAAAATGAGACCAGGAAAACTAGAATACAACAATAAATACCATACGAAAATACATTGCAAAGTCACTGTTTTAAACCAAAAACAGTCAGTTTTTTTTTCTCATTATGCACTGTGTGCTGCAGGATTTTTTTATACTGTGCACACTGACCACATAGACCCATTCTTTCATATGTAGGCCTACCAGCTTTCTCTCACTAGATTTGAGGGCGCTAGAATTTAGGCATACTAGTACGTCAAAAACCCTGGTGCATTAGTCGTACTAGTACGTCAGAAACCCTGAAAGGGTTAAGTTTAGAGGTAATATCTTTTACATTAGCTGACATTATAGGTACTATTTTGTACATTAGATGACATTCAGTTTAGGTACTAGAGTTCATTTCTGTACAAGAACTCAAAAAATTAATTTGGTTTATAGTCTAGTAAGGTTATAGGTACAATGTTTTACATGACATTGTAATCATGAACTATTCACAGTAATAATTTCATAGCTAATTTCTAAGTATAAATTTAAAGGGAAAATAACTTGACTCGGTGAAAATAAGAGTTGCTAAATTTGAGAATCAAGAGTAGGTACATGTTTACACTGTTATTACTTAATGATTAACAAAAACAAACAAGCAGGTAGACTATCTCGTTGAAGCTTGATTATGAATGCAAGTAATATATGCATTAAGAATATACGTAGTTTTATAAAAGAAATTTAAGGTTGAAAGAATTTGTAAGAATATTTCAGCATAATTGTTATTAGGTATTTTTAACACTAGTTTTGAAGCAACAATATACCATCTCAAATGAACATGATTTCTCTACCTTAGAAAAGCTGACATTTCTGTAACAGATTAGATAAGTGTCCTTAACACATATATACATGTGGTGCATATATTGTATGTTACTATTACGTTATTGTGCATTTTTTTTTCTACTAGCTAATACCAGATACCTCATACTTTTTATTTCTTTTTAATTGCTATTAATTGCTCATAATTTTGTGTTGCAAGTCAAATCTTACTCCTAAATTAATGTTATTCATGGTTGCTACCTGTCCATTTAATTTTGTTACATTATTGTGCAATTCCCAAAACTATCATTTGCTAGCTAGTACCAACTTCCTTATATTTTTTTTACTTTTTATAGTGCAATTAATTGCTCAACTTATTATATATTACAAATCAGATCTTACTTTGTCTTATACTTAATTCTAATTATAGATTCACTATAAATCTTATGATTACAAGCATTGATCCTGATACCAACCTCTTATTGAATGACTTAAATGAATTAAACAGTAACTGTAATTACTACACAGCAGAACAATGTCAGATCTTTAGGCAAATATTACGATGACCTCACAGCATTACTAAATTCCCTGCATGCCAGTATGTCCATCATTACTCTCACCAAAACCTGGCTAAAGCCTGATACTACAGATGTCTGTGCCATTCCTGGTTACACAGCCATACACAACTGTAGACCAGACCAACAAGGGGGTGGCACAGCTATATACTACTCAGACCATCTAGAATGTATCAATAATACATGCACAAGGGATGAACATGGGGAATATATAACAGCTAAATTCAAATCCAAATACCTACAAAAACATATCAGTGATAAACATCTACAGAGTACCACAGTCAAACATTAGCCGTTTTAGTGAAAACCTAGGAAGTATGATAACTGATGCACACATGAATAAAGATCACTTACTACTCTCAGGTGACTTCAATATAAATCTCCTGCAAGACCAGGACCCACATGTTACTGAATTCACAAATGCTTTGAGTAACTGCTTGTTGCTACCAACAGTAACAAAACCTACAAGAATTAGAGACTAGTGTTTCCCTACTAAACCACATCTGGACCAACACCATATCCCATTTAAAATCAGGCATAATCACAGATAATACCACAGACCACTACCCTACCTTCCTTATAACTAATCTAGGCAAATTACCCCAAGACTACTAGAGTCACTTTCAGACTTCATAATGAGGCAGCGATTAATAACTTCACAACAGCAATGACAAACATTGACTGGCACAGTGAGCTAGAAATCTATACAGATATTGACAAATGTATTAATAATTTTCTAAAAAAGACCCAATACCTCTGTAACAAGCACTGCTCTAAAAAAAACTAAGCAGATGACAGCTAAGAGACTGAACAGTCCCTGGCTAACGCCCAGCATCCTCAAATCCATAAATACAAAGCACCTATAAGAAAAACAGTACAGAATGGGTCACATAACCAGAGACCAAACAAAACGTTACTCATCAGTCCTAACCAGCCTGATAAGAAGGGGTAAAAAATTGTATTATGAGAACAGATTATCCAACTTAAAAGGTGATATAAAAAAGACCTGGAAAACCCTATCAGAAATTCTAGGAACAAAAAAAAACATCAGGAAATAGCACAATTGAACTAACGAAACCAGATGAACCCCAACTCCCACCAACTGAAACAGCAAACAGACTCAATGATTTCTTCTCCATCATAGGAAAAACCTTGCCAATAAAATCCCAAGCTCAAATACCCCACCCAAAGACTACCTCACTGGCAACTACCCGAACACACTGTTCCTAGCTCTGACCCAACAGAAGTCTCCCTTATTATCAACACACTAAAAAACAAGACAGGAGATTTAAATACCTTACCACCCTTTATATACAAAAAAGCGTCACAATTGCTGTCACCAATCATTGCAACACTAACAAATCCATCGAATCCTCTACCTTCCCTACAGTTCTCAAAATAGCGAGGGTCACCCCGATCCATGAAGGAGGAGACCAAACAGACTTAAATAACTATAGGCCAATATCCAACTTACACCCTCTCTCTAAAATCTTCAAAAAATTAATTCATAAGCGAATATATTCCTACCTCATCTCTCACAACATACTCAACCCCCGTCAGTTTGGGTTCAGGCCTAATAAAAATATGAATGATGCTGTTATACACATGCTAGAACAAGTATACACTGCACTAGAGAAAAAAAAAGTCCCACTGGGGATCTTCATTGATTTACGTAAACTTTTGATAAAGTTGACCATGATTTGCTCCACATAAAATTGTCTCACTATGGTATAAGAGGGCACTCCCTCAACTACCTAAAGTCATACCTCAGCAACAGAAGCCAATATGTGTACACAAATAGAGCAAGCTGTTCCGCACAGCCAATTACATTTGGTGTCCCACAAGGAAACGTCCTTGGTCCTCTTCTCTTTCTCGTTTACATAAATGACCTATCAAATGCGTCGTAACTACTCAAACCCACACTATTTGCAGATGATACTACATATGTCTTCTCTCACCCAAGCGCGTCCTTGGTCCTCTTCTCTTTCTCGTTTACATAAATGACCTATCAAATGCATTGTAACTACTCAAACCCACGCTATTTGCAGATGATACTACATATGTCTTCTCTCACCCAAGCCCAGTCATGCTAACCAATGCTGTGAATACTGAATTACAGAAAATATCTACCTGGATGATGACTAACAAACTTATTCTCAACATTGACAAAACCTACTTCATTCAGTTTGGAAACAGAGCTACAGATGTCCCTCTTAACATAATGATAAACGAATCACCTATCACAAAGCCTATCACAAATCGCAGATGTGTAAACATTGTCGAGATCGCTAATTTCGTGAGAGCATAATTCCGTAAGTTTTCCCTCAAATTTCATTCTTTTTGGTGTCTTTATGATCGGGAAAAGATTCTCTATCTTTTCACAAGAAAAAATAATTTTTTTTTTTTTTTTAAATTTGGGGACCTTGAGAACAAGTCTCGGAGAGGGCCTGTCAATCCTAAAAGGGTTAAATTCTTGGACCTTGTAGACAAGTTTCAGATCGGGGGTCTAGACCCTGAAAGGTTAGGGGAGGTGCCTGGGTGACAGTGAAGGCCTCTTGATATGGGAATTACAGCTGTCCATTTCCTCTGATCAAATATAATTTCCTTCTATTTCCCATGTGCTGTGTGACCCCTGAAGGGTTTATTGTCTCCTCATGAATATAATTATTATATTTTCGGTATCCCACAATTTTTTTAAATTTCATAGTCATCTAAACTGAGATGACTATGAAATTTGGGTGACCTGAATGCTAACATGAAAGAGTATGTTTTAGAGGTCAAGTAGGCAAGTTAAGAGTTCTGAGAAGAAGGGGAGGAAGTAAATAAAATGGGGGGCCCTCTAAGTTGCTAATAATAGTGGATAATGATCATTATTTAGTGGTAGATATAGTAGTAAAAGGCAGATAGAATACAAGGAAAATGGTGTCAGTGAGTAAGATACACTTTTCTGTTTTAATCAGTTTTTGCCTTCATTTTTAACAGATGTGTCGAGTTTTGTCCTGAAGTAAATATGGTAATTACTGGATCATGGGACTCCAATGTAAAACTTTGGGATCCACGTGGACCACGCGAGGTTGGCACATTCCAACAGCCCAGTAAGGTATGTGTAATGTGGGCAAACACACCTACTTAGTCCAACAAGTCATGTGTAATATGTAAAAATTCTCTGTAGTTAAATTTTGCTGGAACCAATTAGAAACAGCATGGAAATTGAACCTATATATGAGAATTGGTTTTCTGTGCATCAGAAAGAGGATACACTGCAAGATAACTCAAAAAGGGTCAGGATGACCCGAAAAAGAAGAAACACTTTCACAGTCACTCTCACTATCACTCTTGCCACACGTGCTCCAATTCTAAGGTTCAGATGCTCATCTGCCGACAAGTCCACTCCCAAATATCTGAACACATTCATTTTCTCCATATTCCCTTCTTCCAATGTGATATCCAGTGTTTCATTAGTAATATATACAGGAGAAGGGGTTACTAGCCCCTTGCTCTGTGCATTTTAGTCGCCTCTTACAACATGCATGGCGTACGGAGGAAGAATTCTGTTCTGGTATCCCATGGAGATAAGCAGAAATAAACAAGAACAAAAACTAATAAGAAAAAAGAAGAAAACCCAGAGGGGTGTGTATACAGTAGAACCCCACTTATATGGCAGATTAGGTTCCAGGCTACCACCGTAAAGCGGAAATCGCCGTAAAGTGGAACACCCTTTTTTTCCACTTATAAATGTAGGGTCAGAGGTGAGTAAATGAGATAAATCAGTGAAAGAGAGAGAATGAGTACATGAGAGAGGACACTTGCGGAGTTATGTAAACAAACCAGGCATATGCGAGTTTTGTAAACAAACCAGGCAAACACGTTTGGTTGGTGTACAAGTTGTCTCTTCGTTGATATGGTAGAATAAATAAGGAGGAACACTCCTTTTCTCATGTAACACCATTTTTAGAAGAAATGACTCTCTGAGTTAAGGCATACAAAAGGAAAAATTTTCTACCGTTACCCCCAGTAACACATTTTTCTCTTATGTTGGACTAGAGAAAGCATTATTCTTGTCGCCACTCGTACAAGTTGTCTGGCTACCACATCTCATATATATGTTTGTTTATTCTACTGTGGGGTGTATTTATCATCTTTAAATGTTATGTATCATGTTTATTATATAATTTTGAAAAAAATCTGAAAATATCATAGTGAAAATGTGTATATTAACGTAATATATGACATTTAGTGAAACTCGGTGATTATTATTGAGTATTATTATTCTTTCTTCTTTCAACACACCGGCCATATCCCACAGAAGTGGGGTGGCCCAAAAGGAAAAACAAAAGTTTCTCCTTTTACATTTGGTAATACAGGAGAAGGGGTTACTAGCCCCTTGCTCCTGGCATTTTAGTCGCCTCTTACAACACTCATGGCTTACGGAGGAAGAATTCTGTTCCACTTCCCCATGGAGGTAAGAGGAAATTAACAAGAGCAAGAACTAGAAAGAAAATAGAAGAAAACCCAGAGGGGTGTGTATATATATGCTTGTACATGTATGTGTAGTGTGACCTAAGTGTAAGTAGAAGTAGCAAGACGTACCTGAAATCTTGCATGTGTATGAGACAGAAAAAAAAAGACACCAGCAATCCTACCATCGTGTAAAACAATTACAGGCTTCCGTTTTACACTCACTTGGCAGGACGGTAGTACCTCCCTGGGCGGTTGCTGTCTACCAACCTATTACCTAGGAGTATTATTATCATCATTACTAATGTGGCGTCTCGAGACATAACAATCTTACAGATTTTAATATGTACCTGCATGCCAGCACAGTGTGTAAGTTTATTTAGATACAGGTATACATAAGTATAATTATCAGAGTATATATAAAATATGAAATATCTTTTAAAAACACTTGAAATTTTGGAGTTTCCAGACATAATGGAGAGACGTGGTGCTTATGGAGCTCACTGAGAATGTAAGCAAACCGGGTGGGGCATGGTGACCGTATTAGAAAGTCAGGTGGGGGGAGTCGTATAGCGAGTTTTGGTCATAATTTGAAATGTCCGTATTAGCGGAGCGCCATAAAGTGAAACGCAGTAAAGCAGGGCCCTACTGTGTATATGATTCTACATGCACATGTAGTGTGACCTAAGTATAAGTAGAAGTAGCAGGATGTACCTGAAACCTTGCACGTTTCTTCTTTCAATGCACCGGCTGTATCTTACCGAGGCAGGGTGGCCCAAAAAGAAAAACGAAAATTTCTTTTTAAATTTAGTAATGTATACAGGCAGAGAGGGTTACTAGCCCTTTGCTGCCAGCATTTTAGTCAGCTCTTATGACAAGCATAGCTTACGAAGGAAGAATTCTATGCCGCTTTCCCATGGAGATAAGTGGAAATAAACAAGAACAAGAACTAGTAAGAAAATAGAAGAAAACTCACAGAGGGGTGTATATATATGCTTGTACATGCGTGTGTAGTGTGACCTAAGTGTAAGTAGAAGTAGCAAGGCGTACCTGAAATGTTGCATGTTTCTTGCTTTCTTTCAACACACCGGCCGTATCCCACTGAGGCAGGGTGGCCCAAAAGGAAAAACGAAAGTTTCTCCTTTTACATTTAGTAATATATACAGGAGAAGGGGTTACTAGCCCCTTGCTCCTGGCATTTTAGTCGCCTCTTACAACACGCATGGCTTACGGATGAATTCTGTTCCACTTTCCCATGGAGGTAAGAGGAAATAAACAAGAACAAGAACTAGTAAGAAACTAGAAGAAAACCCAGAGGGGTGTGTATATATATGCTTGTACATGTATGTGTAGTGTGACCTAAGTGTAAGTAGAAGTAGCAAGACGTACCTGAAACCTTGCATGTTTATGAAACAAAAAAAGACACCAGCAATCCTGCCTTCACGTAAAACAATTGGTTTCTGTTTCACACTCATTTGGTAGGATGGTAGGACTATCCTGGGTGGTTGCTGTCTACCAACATACTACCTGGACTGAGCCCAATTATGCTTACAAAAGCTTTTAACTGCTTTCATTACCACCTATTCCATACACTTGCAGTATCTGCAGCATTGCTTCCCTATCCACCCTAAACAAAAACTTGCATTTTTTTCTTTTTAACACGTCGGTCATTTCCCACTTGGGGCAAGATGACCCAAAAAAGAAAGATTTTAAACACTTTCATCATCACTCGTACATAATCACTGTCTTTGCAGAGGTGCTCAGATACGACAGTTTAGATGTCCCTCCAAACTGCCAGTATCTCAGACCCCTCCTTTAAAGTGGAGGCATTGTACTTCCCACTTCCAGGATTCAAGTCCAGCTAACCGGTTTCCTTGAATCCCTTCACAAAATATTACCCTTCTCGCACTCCAACAGCTCGTCATGTCCCAAAAATCATTCGTCTCCATTCACTCCTAACACTCTCATGCATGCTTGCTGGAAGTCCAAGCCTCTCACCCACAAAACCCCCTTTACCCCCTCCGCTTTCCTTTCCCTACAGATTTTTATGCTCTCCAATTCATTCTACTTTGTTCCATTCTCTCTAAATAGCCAAACCTCCTCAACAACCCCTCTTCAGTCCTCTGACTAATGCTTTTAGTAACTCCACACCACCTAATTTCCACACTACGAATTCTCTGCATAATATTTAGACCACACATTGCCCTTAGACATGACATCTCCACTTCTTCCAGCTTCCTCTTTGCTGCATCATTTATAACCCATGCTTCACACTCATATAAGTGTGTTGGTACCACTATACTCTTGTACTTTTTTTTTTTTTTTTTTTGTCTCCACAGATACTTCAACGCACCAGTCACCTTTTTTCCTTCATTAGTTCTATGGTTAACCTCATCCTTCATAAACCCATCTGACAATTCAACTCCCAAATATCTGAACATAAGAAAGAAGGAACACTGCAACAGGCCTACTGACCCGTGTGGAGCAGGTCCATGTCCCCCCTCCCACCACCCCCGGATTAGCCCAATGACCCCCCCCCCCCCCGGATTAGCCCAATGACCCCCTCCTCCCCGGATTAGCCCAATGACCCACCCAGTGTGGTCACCTCCACTCAAGGAAGGAGCACTGCACCACACCCAGCAGCACAAGCTAGTCAGGTCCAACTCACACCCGCCCACACCCACTCATGTATTTATCTAACCTATTTTTAAAACTACACAATGTTTTAGCCTGAATAACTGTACTTGGGAGTTTGTTCCACTCATCCACAACTCTATTACCAATTTTCACCATGTTATTAACATCCCCTTTATTTATTCCTGTTTTCCATTTATACATCTCGATCATATCCCCCCTAATTCTATGCCTTTTGAGAGAGTGCAGATTCAGGGCCCTCAGTCTACAACCCAGGGCATCATGGGTTTAGAACAGGTCGCTCCTGTCTGTCTCAACTATTGGATCACTACGACAAGGTCCTAGATGCACTAGAAGACAAAAAGAATGCAGATGTAATATATACAGACTTTGCAAAAGCCTTCGACAAGTGTGACCATGGCGTAATAGCGCACAAAATGCGTGCTAAAGGAATAACAGGAAAAGTCGGTCGATGGATCTATGATTTCCTCACTAACAGAACACAGAGTAGTCGTCAACAGAGTAAAGTCCGAGGCAGCTACGGTGAAAAGCTCTGTTCCACAAGGCACAGTACTCACTCCCATCTTGTTCCTCATCCTCATATCCGACATAGACAAGGATGTCAGCCACAGCACCGTGTCTTCCTTTGCAGATGACACCCGAATCTGCATGACAGTGTCTTCCATTGCAGACACTGCAAGGCTCCGGGCGGACATCAACCAAATCTTTCAGTGGGCTGCAGAAAACAATATGAAGTTCAACGATGAGAAATTTCAATTACTCAGATATGGTAAACACGAGGAAATTAAATCTTCATCAGAGTACAAAACAAATTCTGGCCACAAAATAGAGTGAAACACCAACGTCAAAGACCTGGAAGTGATCATGTCGGAGGATCTCACCTTCAAGGACCATAACATTGTATCAATCGCATCTGCTAGAAAAATGACAGGATGGATAATGAGAACCTTCAAAACTAGGGAGGCCAAGCCCATGATGACACTCTTC